GTTAAATAAAAGCAATCTGGCATTTTCCATCAACTGCAAGCTTTATTTCCATTGCTCAGTCAACAATAATATAATATATATATATATATTCTTGTGTCTCATTTTTTTAAAAAGAATTGTATCACATGTCTTGCTCCTATGAAAAAATAAATAAACAACAGTAATGGTAATATAAAAAAAATCTTCAATTATGTTTACAATTATCCATTAGCAAATTAGTCACCTATTGCATACTCAATGTCAATGGTCATTATTCACTGATCAATCTTAACAAATAAAACATACAATTGATTAGCATTCAACGAACATTATGAAATTCTTTACTCATAATAAAGACGTTACGTTCTTTTTTCAAATTTACAATTTCTAATAGTTAGTCTATAACACGACGACTTGTCTAAATTATACATGTTATTGTGTTCTTTACTCTTTACATTTATTCGACCAAAAATATTTGTATCGATACTACTTATATCTGTTAACTTATGTATAGAAACATCTTTTTACCAGCTAATATTACAAATAACAAGCCATTTTATATAGTTCTCGCTAAATATAAAATCGTTTACCTATTAATTTTTTCTATTTTCGCACATTATTTTTTAAATACAAACTAACCGCATGCTTGCGTGTTGTGTAGCGCTCGTTATATTAGTTATCATTTCAATTAGCTAATATTGCCACTAAATTACAATTAAATTGGGCATTACTGGGCATAATTGCATTCATCCACCGCGCATCACGTGGTGATTCCCCTCCTAGTTTCACCAAAAAGCCGTTACCCATTACCCACCTAAACACCTCGGCTCTTCTTCTTCTTCTTCTTCTTCTTTTTAACCAGAATGAAAATGGGGTTAAATCCACACCCTCACAACCTAAATCCACATCCTTTGTAATCGAGTTGATCAAAAAGTCCATAGTATTTATGGCTTGATAGAAACTTTTTCAATAAAAAAATTTTTTGCCTTTTTTTTGGGTGAAAGTAGATGGTGCCAATTTGGATTTAAAGTTTACATCACTATGAATGGTTTTGAAAATTTTGACTTTTTTTTATTCACTTTGATGGCATTTATTTTTTTCCTCTTAGCGGTGGAGAGAATGTTTGAGTCTCTTTTTAGGGATAATTTAAAATACCTCCCATAAGGTTTTTGATTATTTCACCTAGTTCTCTTGAGCTTTCAAAAATTACTCATACCTCCCTTGGGTCTACCATTTTGTAACAAAAACCATCCAATGGTCAAAATTTTCAATGAATAACCCAAAACGCACGGCTTCATGAAATTATGAAGTTCATTTTACCTTCTTATAAAATTCTTTAAAAAAATGGAATAAAACCCACTTTGAACCCTCATCTTACTATTTTAAACCTTTCATATTCTTACATCTCAAATTAATACCATTATTGCCATGATCACCACCACCATCAATTCCTAAATTCTAAAACCTCAATCTAAGTTACAAAAGAAAAAAAAATCCGTACTATTATCAATATAACACCCTATCCCTCAATTGTTCGAGTACCAACACATGTCTCATTCCACTTACATATTCTTCTATTCATCTTCAGATCTTCGAAGCTAACGAGTGCGGGGTATGCATATAATAATTAAACTCATTCCACAATCAAGTTTTACATTTATAAAATCCAAAATACCCCACACACGATTTTTCACAAGTATACGGGTTGTGATTGAATATAGGGTATTAATGGTTGAACCCACAGAGAAGAATGTCCATTATCGTTGGTTTTCAAACTTTTTTATTATTTAGACTATCACAAGTACAAAAAATTAAATTTACACTATAAACATGAAATAAAAGTAATACAAATAATAATATAAAGCTCCTAGAGGTATAAAATTACTCACTACTCTTGCAAGTGAAATAACTAGTTAAGTGAATATTATTATCTTGACTAATTATGGCGTAATTTTCAAATACATGTGAAATTGACTCTCATAGTGAATCAACTATACTTGTAACTAAACCATACCTACTCTCGTGATTATGAAATTAGTTATAAGCTCATTTCTTCTATGAAATTACATGAAACAATTCTCGTGATTATGAAATTAGTTATAAGCTCATTTCTTCTATGAAATTACATGAAACAATTCACTAAAACCACATAGGTGCACCTCTACTCTCATGAGTGCACTTCCTAGGCTTATCACTTCCTTGAACTAGTGTTAAATCCCAATTTTTATTGCAAACTTAATACCTTAAGATTATTAGAATTAATGGCCGATTAATCATGATTAGAAAAGTAAAAGTACTAAATAACTTGTTCAAAATAATATCATCAAATAACCAAATAAATATCACAAACAATATATAGAAAGTTCATCCATAACTCAAGGCATAAACTTTAACTAAACATAATAAAATCCAAACTTGTATTATAACTATACATGGAATCAAATTTAAAAGAGAGATTGATAGGAGAAAGTCACACTTGTCACATAAACTCCAACTCTCCCTCTTCACTCCTCAAATCTTCATCCAAATCTAGCTACAAGTACAAGAAGGAAAAACTACACTAACTATACTAAACTAATGAACTAAGAAAAACTATTGAAAACTACATTTTTGGTAGTGTCTCCAGCCTTCCAAAGTTGTAAAAAAAAATGTCCTTGAAGGCTTCTATTTATAGAGGAATTCAAGCTCAAGGTGAATTTTTAAAGTTGATGTGAAATGCTCCTTAAGATTCCCAAAAGATGCTTCTACAAGTCTCCATGCATTTCCTTTACAGCTGTAGCCGAAATTCTGAGTTGAAAATAGTTGGAAAAGCTATGTGAATGCAGAATAAGTTGGTGTGCAAGTTACAGAAAAACTGGGGAGAATACGCAAGCTCTGAATACGCAACCTGATTCCACATATTCAGAGCTCACTTTTGCACTTCTGCGAGTTTAGTACCACTTCAACTAATATTTTCTTGATGATAGAGGTTGAACTAACTCTTTTGCAAAACATGAAAGTTGTAGGCCTTTGAGTTAGCTTTCTAATTCCTCAAGAATCATCCAATTGGAGCTCTGTAGATTGAGAAATGGCCAAAATAATCTCAACTAATCAATCTCCTGTTTCACCTTTTGACAACAAACATGACCGAGTGCATTTCAACTTTTTGACAAGAAAAACTTATGAATTGGATTTTGATGTCTCATAAGAAATGTAGAACTATGTGTTAGCTTCAACATGGTACAATAATCACCTCAATCCAATGCTTGTAGTTCAAAATATAGCCAAAATACCAAAATGTATCAAACCTGTCTTAACTCGCATTTCATCCTTTGAACATTTTGCACTTCATGTCTTCTTTAAATCACTTCATATCAACTACAATCATCCAAATATCTTCTCAATTCACTCCATTTGATAATTGAATCATTAAACCTACAAAAACATGAAGTTTTCACCATTAAAATCCATAAAAACGTAATTTTTTATACTTAAACCATAAAATGCATATCTTTGCTAGAAATTTAGTTCATTAGCTATAAAAGTGAATAAAACATACCAAAACTAAATAATAAAACACACTTCAAATACACAAAATATGCACTTATCAGAAGCAAAGCTAAAATTAATTTGCAATATGTTAGATAATTAGTTGTCCAGTAAGTGAATCTTGTTTTTGTTTCCATTAAATGTTTAATTGTGTGCTGCAATTCTATACACAAGATTAGAAGCATATTATTTAATTACATGAAAAATATTAATGTATTAAAGTTATCATGGTCATTTTATAAGATTAAGGGAAATAAGTGTAGCGTTGAAAACATCAAGGATAGTAGGTGAAATTGTCAAAAATCTCAAGGGAGGTTTCTAAAATTATTCCCTCTTTTTATCATGTAAGAGGAGATGAGATTTATTTTTTTAAAAAATTGTGTTAAGAAAATATTTTTACCTTTTTGATACGTTACACTTCAATGTTGATTGAAGTATAATTTTAGAAAACATTAGAGGATTAATAATTAGAATGCTAGAATCAGACAATTTCAATTAATTAAAATTTGTAATTGATTTTTTAAGCATCTCTTGTTGTATGAAAGACAAGTTTTGGTATTGGGAAAAAGTTCCTATCAAATTTCTGTGAGTTTTATCATCATCTTAATGCTAGGGGCATAGATTTAGACTAAGGGGTGTGATTTTAGCGCCCACACTTTTTATTTTTGAATATTAGTTTTGGTTAGTAATTCTTTTGGGTCATGGTTTTCCATGGCTCTAGAAATATAAAATTCATTAGCTTTTTAAAAAAAAAATTGACTGAAAAATCTGCAGGTTTTGGTTTTAGGTTTTTCAATTTCTTGGAACTTAAGACTTAGAAATCTGGAGGCTCAAGTGAGCTTCAGTACTTCGAGCTCGAGTTAACAAATTGCATTCTCAAAGCAGGCCCCTACTGGTAGTGATACCCCGAACTCATGGATGACGGCTAACGTTTTCTATTGGAATAGAGGGATGTGCAGATAGCGGAGCGGCAATTGGAAATATGCTCAGTAAGGAAACATTACCGGCCCAAGGATCCGTAACTTCCCGTTTTCCGTAAGAATTGTCTTGGCCTTAATCCTTGTTGGTCCACAATAAATTGGACCTAGATTTACCATGCGAGCCGAGTACAGAGATGAAAGAGATAGCCCAATACACATAAGAGCAACAGCAGCGCGCTCCATGACACGGTCTCCTGTTTGAGCCGTGTCATGGAGATTACACGCATCATAATGCGTGTAATCCATTAGAAGGTGGGACTCATGATTAAATGTAAAATAATTCTAACCACCAACGGTTACATCCAATTTTTGCTTCAACGGTAAATTTGCCAGCACACAACATGTGACGGTCCCACTTCTCCCCAAGGCGAACCAAGGGGTATCTGCGGGACGCCTGCCCAACTCTCGCCAGGACTCACGCAAGAAATCTAGCCAAAAACCCTTCCGAAGAATAACCTAATCTATTACAATATCGCTTTCCTCCAAAATGGTCAATAACCAAACCACATTAACTTCAGAGATAACAGCATTTCAATATAGCCAATCGTCGACTCTTAAGAACCTTACGCGTTACAACCCAAGTCTAAAGTCATACCCTTCCAAACATACAAGTTCATACAACATAAATACGAACATACAAGCCGAATATCTGAATTAGGGATTGCACTTTTCCAGTTTCAAGTGGCAATCCAAAGCATCAAGTACACCTAGCTTAGCGTATCTTCAATCCGATACATGACATAAGTAACATTAGACATTACCAACCGCAAAGCAAAGTCATAGTATTCATTTACATCCATAAGAAAGTCTAAGTAAATTGTAAAGCTCTCAATTTCTAGAACCTGTCAAGGAAAACAAATATACACGGTGAGCCAATCGCTCGTGGGGCCAAGAAAACACACATGCACACACGTTGTTCAAGTAGAACAATAAGGTTCAAGTAATTTACAATTCAAGCGAGGCAAGTAAACAGAAACAATTCAAAGATATAGGAGCTCTCAGGAGCTATTTTCCACTTGCTTCGCCACGGCTCGATCCGATACCCCCTCACAATGACCCTCCGTCATCCGGGTGGGTATTATATCCATAGAAACTTCCCTTATTACTTCCTCCGACCAACAATCCACCCTCTCGGATCCGTAACCAAACACGCACGAAAAGGGCAATACTCGTTGAGTATACCGAACGAGACCTCAAGAAATCAAGTTTTGATTTTTGAACACGCACGAAAAGGGCGATACTCCACGAGTATGCCGAACAAGATCTCAAAAGATCAAGTTATGTTTTGTTGTTCCCTTGGCTTATCAAGCTTCTCGACCAAGCCCATGCCGGCTCGAGTTGCAAGATTGGCTAAGAGAATTTGGGCGTCCCCATAAGTCGAGGAGTTTCACTCCACCCGACAACACGTCACGCACGACACGCACAGCAAGCACAACACGCACGACAACACGACATGTACACGAAAACGGATATATTTTAGCCGACGAGGTTCACTCAAATCGACTTTGAAAACCAAGTTAATACAAGTAAAGTTCAAGTAAAGGAGAGCGAGTGCGATAAAGTACACACTCGTCCCATCAAGTGATATTCACGTATATAAGCAGGTAAATCAAGTAAACACGACAAGTCATGCACTTGACACTCACAATTCAAGAGTAATTGAGCGAGAGAATCGTTAGTTGTCCTCTCCGGGATTCTCTTCAAGACTAGCTTGAGCACCTGAAGCAATTGACAAGTATTTTTCACTCATAATCACGCATTAATCAAGGAAGGAGTTACACTCATCTAGACTTGTCACTACCTCAAATCAAGAACCTTAGCCACTCCAAATAAAGGTTCAAAAGTGAGGTTTTATTAACACAAGGAAAAATAATTTCCTTCATGAAATCAAGTTTAAAGCGACCAATTATCATCAAGAAGGAATAACGAGTTTTTTCAAAATTTCATTTTCTAAGAAATCGGCAAAATTCAGCTTTGCACGTCAAACTTAGAAAAATCAGGTCTTGCACTGAGTAGGTCCAAAATTGGAAAACTTGGTACCATTGGAAACTACTTCCAGAGTACTAAAAGTTCCTAGAAGACATTTTTCCACGAGTGTAAGTGAAAGGCACTCAAATTTTCGACTCAAAGTTGGTAACTTGAATTACCAAAACAGATTTAAGTTGGTTTTTGGCCAACTTTGGAAGTTCGGCAAAATTCACTTGTTTGGAACTAGCTTTTGAAATTTGGTACTCTTTTAGAGTCACAATCCAAGAGTATAAAAAAACACACGGAATGAGAAACGGAGTTTTGAATATTAAGATATGGCAACTCAAAGTTACCAAGATTCCCTTATGAAACATGGGTTTTTCAAGCTCGAGTCATGAACTTTGGTAATTTATTTGACCCATGAAACGGTCTCAGAATAACACCAAAATTAGCAGTATAATACTACCATATAAGGGTTGTCCCTCTACCAAATTTCATAGAAAAATATTCACGGGAAGTCACTTAACAAAATCACTCAAGTTTCCAAAATTTTTAAGGCAAAGCTGCCTTGTATGTGAAAATTTCCTTTTCTAAGCTTTTGACCAAGGAAAATCCTCTAAACATGGTTCATTTGCATAGAAAAGGTTTAAGGGTCATTCCAGAACAACATTTGTGGTGATTAACACCAAGAGATTTAATTTGCAGGTCTATACCGAGCCTTGCATCAAATCTGCCTAAAAATCAGGGTTTTCAAGGACAGAGCAGGTTTCCAATTTTGATCATAGATCACTCAAATTAACTAGGAATTTAGCATGGTTTATGGCGTTGGAAAACACATTCATAGAGCTATAATTTCACAGAAGAAATCACTTTGAAATTCGGCACACAACTAGCTCGAATTCGAGCCACAAGTTGCAGCCTCATCATTTTGTTCTTGTAAAACAGAGAAACAGGACAGCTGACTTAAAATGGTTGGTTCGGCTCACACACATGGAACCAGAATGTACATTTTATACCGTCGGAAAGGCTGGGATGTCTAGTTTCAAATGCCGCTGACGGCACTTAATTTCGACATCGGAGCACAGATTTATAGCCGAAATACGAAAGCTGGTCAGAGTATTACGGAAACAGTTCCAGATTTACTAGCTTTGTGAAATCATTTTATTCGACCAACCAAATCTCAATATTTTTCAATGAAACTTTGTACACCACATATTCAACATATAAACATAATATACGAGTCATGAAACCCTCAAAATTCTACAAAAAGGGGTGCGATTAAAACAGGGTAAAACTGAACATTTTTGAACTATGCATCCCTTGAAGTCTAGACTAGCTAGATATCATTAATCTAGCTATTTAAACACTAAACTAGCATTATATCCATCATCAAACATTTCATCAACCATCAATTCAAGGGTGGGAGTTCAAAGAGCCCACCATCAAAATTTTCCCAACGTGAAATAAAACGAATAACATGTAATTTTAGCAAATAGATCCACCACAGTAAATCTGTCCTCGGCTAAACAAAATTTCCAGCAGTTCAATAGTCTTGGATCCAATTTTTCCTCGGCTAAAACAGTGTTTTAAGTATTCTATTTTAACATGCAAACACTTAGCTAGATAATTAACATTTCCAGTTCAAGATTAAATTCAAACAACAGTTATAAACATCCCAAAATCCAGAAATTTGTGCAGCTCTTCCTCGGCTAAGCTAGCATGCGACAGATTTCTTGTTTCCTCTTATTATATATATATATTTTTTCTTCTTTAGCCGAACGGATTAGCCTCATGCCAGACTTACACACCTAGTTATTAACTAGTTAATCATAGCTATAAGTTCATATTACTCCAATTTAAACAAGATTAAAGCTGAAATTCTGAATCATCTCACGGCACATTCTATTTTCACCAAAACAGATTTTTTTCTTGCTCTTAATCCCATCAACGCACATAAACACGACATGCAAGTCTTAATCTCCTTGTTTTTACTTAGTTAATCCCAAATTCCTGCTCAGATTATCCCAGGTTATCGAATCAAAGCTGCAAATTTCCCACTCAACTCTCGGCAGTTCCCCATTTGTAAGATTCAGGATTTCCGATACTTTAATCCATCATCCAAGAGCTTGAACATCACATGCAAGCTTATAACAGCATCATCTACCCAAAATCAGCTACTCTAAAGCCGGAAATTACCTTGGTTTGAAGCTTAGCTCACGCAATAAGGTTCTGCAATTTTTTTTTCTCTCCTCTTGGCTGCTATCGCACTTGGTGTAGCTGGTCTGGCTCAAGGGTTGCAGCTGTGGTGTTTGTGGTTGGGTCTTATTGCTTAGGAATGACAAGATTGTTTCTTTTCGGTGGCTAGTGGCAGACAAGAACAAATAAGGCTAGTTTCTCTCGGTTTCCTTCCTTTTCTTTCCTTTCGAATTGCAGATTTCAGAATGCAACTCCCTCTCTCGCACTTCGTCGATGATAACAAGGCGAAGTAAATGTTGTGGTTGAAGCTGAGATAAGGTGGAGGTGATTTTGCGGTGAGGGAGAGGTTGAGTGTTTGGGAGGTTGTGTGTTGGAGTGGAGAAAATTGTATTGGCCGAATGGGGTGGTGAGTGATGATGTTGTCAGAGGGTGTTGGATTGCATGGTGATTTGTAAGGTTGTGAGGGTAGTTTAGTCTTTTCACTTTTCCTTCTAATGACCACTTAAGTCCTTAATTCTAACTTAACTCCAAAAATCTATTCTGAATATAAATTAAGCTCCTAATAATGCACTAATCTTGCAAGGTTTCAATTATCGAAATTTTTACGTCCTACACGTATTTAGTATACTTGTATTGTTTTTATCTAAAATTTATCGGCCTCGTCTTATTGTGAAAATTTCTATTAACAATTAACGTTATTATCTAATTGGAGTTAATTATTGGAATCCAAGTAATTTATTTTAAAGTAGTAAAATTAATCTGCTCAGGTAGTATTAATTTAACATAATGGAAACTAAAATTATTCTAACTCTAAAGGTGTTAATTTAGTTTAGCAAAATAAAAGAAATTTCGTAACTTAGAGAAATTATATTATTTTTCACATGAAAATTGTTTTTACGCACTTATTTACAAACAAGTGAAAGTAATGCTAAAATTTATTAGAGAATTAGAAATGCAAATGAAATATGCAATGTTATTTGTATATATATTTTCAGGGTTCTCACACAACACATTTTAGCTTTCCAACGGTTATATCCAACGGTTAGATTTTAGCCTTTTATATGAACACACAACACTTTTTTTAAAACATATCCCACTATTCTACTCTATTATTTCTTTTGCTCTCTCACACACTTTTATTCTTTCACTCATTTAATTCATTTTTTGTGATTATGGATGAAAATTTTAGTAGTTTTACAAATATGAGGTATCAAATATTTGTTTAATTTCCTGCATAATTATTTTTGAAAAAAAAATATATTATTTTTGAAAGATAGAAAACGATATATTATTCAAACTTAAAAATTAATAATATCATTTTTAGAAAAGAAAAAATTCAAAATGTAAAAAATTTAATGAAAGTTAGTACTTTATTTTTTAAAATAACAAAATTATTTTTAAAAATTACTTTATTTATTTATGGGATATGAGTTATGCATTATTAAAATAAATATTTGATTTAATTATGGACCCATACTATTACACCTTATGGAGTGTAATTCATTATGAGTGAAAGTATAATAAAAGAGGAGAAAGTGGAATGCTGACGTGGCATGTGGATTACACTCCACAAGGTATAATAACATTGTGGATGCTCTAAGTGCGTGTGTGTGTCATTACAGACTGTCCAAAAGACTGAAAAAAGAAATTGTCTATCAAAAGGAAGAAAACAAAAGAATACGCGAATGGCTTATTCTCTTGCCTTTGGGCTGGTGGCCACCACTCATGCATTAAAGCTTGGTGATGTGGGAGGCAAAGATTACCACATTAAAGTGGTTCTGCTTAAAAAAATTTAGGCTGGTACATAATGCAACTGTATGGTCCGATACTTTGAATTAGAGTTCGCCATCACCAATACATTAAAGTTTGGTGGGATGAGAGGCAAGGCTTCCCACCAATTTGCCACATTAAAATGGCTCTACTTAAAAAAATTCAGGCGGGTACGTAGTGGACCCGTCTAGTTCGTTGGTAGTTCAGTCTCTTCTGAGTTACCCTTAGACCTTTTGAGGTCCTCCTCCTCCCCCTAATACAGGATAATCTATTGTATCGATAAAAAAAAAAAAAATTAGAGCTCACCCATGAATTGTAACAGTTTGTGACATAAATTTGTTTATTGGAAAAAATAACATTAAACTCACTGCACAGACTTACTTATATATACTAGCTATGGAGACACATTGGAAATAATATTGGGAAAGAATCACAAAAATAGTGCAAGTGAATATAATTATTTTATGAAATATGTAATAAAAAGTTTATTATACAGAAATATGTACAATTGGAAGTAAAAAAAAACCACTGGTAAGAGAGAACGTGAGAATTGGAGGGTGGTAGTTTTGATGGAGTAGAATTTATTGTGTAGTTTTGGTCGAGTAGGATTTGTGTATTAGTTGATAATAAAAATAAGGATTAATGAATAATAAAGATAGATAACAAAGATAAGGGTTAATGGATAATAAAGATAAGGGTAAATTTTAAAATAAATAAAATTAACACCAAGTTAACTAATTGCACAGACTTTATTATTGTAAAAATATATATGCGTGTGTATATATGTATGTATGTACATATGTGCATGTACATGTATGTATGTATGTATGTGTATGTGTGTATGTATATATATGTAAGAGTACGTGAATGACTTATTCTTTTCTTTAAAATTACAACTTACCCATGAATTGTAACATTTTCTGAAACAAAATATACCTTAAGAAAAAAATAACACTAAACTTACTTCCCGTCTTGCTCGTTATGACTTATGAGTCGCAATAGAAGAACCCAATGCGACTAGCTTTTCTTTTGCTTCATTGCCATACACACTTCGGCCTCACTGGCCAGTCCATTGTCCGCTTATTGAGGACTTTAGTTAGCCTCGTAGTGGGGAGGCAGCCACTTCTCCTTTCCCTTTTTTTTCGCTTTTTCCTCCCCTCAGCACTCAATTTTTAGGAAAATGTTAATTTTTATTCCCAAATTTTGGACCATTTCATACTCAAACTTCTTGACATAACACATTTAATATCTAAACTATCAATTTTTTATCAATTTCATTCTCAAATGGAAAATAAATCAATTTGGATTGAAAAATGCCAATTTTTTACCCAAATTTTTCGCTATGGACATATTTTGTCCTCAAACTATGCATTGTCTATATTATTGATTCTCTCTTTTATTGGCAGCTATTGATTTGGATGCAGTTGTTTGAGGATGAAATATGTCCATAATCCAAAGTTTGGGAATGAAAACTAATATATTTTTTTCATTAATTTTTCCTTTGACAATGAAATTGGTCAAAACTTAATAATTCAGCTACTAAATGTGTTATGTCAAAAAGTTTGTGAACAAAATATGTCCGTGGTCTAAAATTTGTCTGGCATTTTCCCGTCAATTTCCTAATGCAATGATTAGAGTATAACTTCAATTTGACTACAATCTTTTACTCTTTCTGTTTTTGTTTTGGCTCTACTAAGCGAGCTAGGGCTGGATAGTTTTCAAGCTTAATACAGAACAAAAAGATGGCACCTAACTCTTTTTTTTTTTTTTTTTTTATCGATACGATACACCTATTTCTATTCGTATTATATATTAAGATAAAAAAATGGACCTAAAAAGATCAATGAAAACTTCGAAAGCGACTAAACCTAACTCATTTTCTACCTACCCCGGAGGGGACTGACACTAAGGGCCCCTAGCTCATTTTCTACCCACCCATTGTGTGTATAACTTTCAAAGGGGTTAAGTGGCATGTCCATACGCGGGAATTTGGATGAATACAGAGAACATGTTGCACGTTTGGTTCCACGCAAAATCCATCTTTAATTTCCAACCTCACGTTTTATAAGCGGGGGTTGGCGGCTAGCTGTGGACCAACGGTGCAAGGGCTTCTTTGAATTTAATCAATTTGCTCAATTTACTCATTTTAGTTTGATTTTCTCGATGTTTTTCCCTGGGGATAATTTCAGAAACCTCCCTGAGATTTCTGATAATTTCACTGAGCTCCCCTAAGATTTAGAAAATTACACATATCTCCCTTGTCATTTAAAATAACAATACTACCCTTGAATATTTTAGTAAAATTTTCTTATTTGGTATGCTTATACTTAGAATGACTTTAAAATTATTTTTTCATTCTTATTCCTTTTTATTTTAATTTTTTTACCAATAAATTTGTAAAATTACTACTATTATCTCTAGTTTCTATTGTAACCAAATGTCGAACTAATGATTTTTTTTATGAGTAACTTTATGCGTAATCCGATATTTTTTGCTAATCTTTGTTTTCTATTTTTTTTGGTATTCAAATTAACAATAAATCAAAAAAATTGCCCAAAATCACTACTAAATTATGATGATCCCACTATCAAAAAATTTATAAACTCTGAATCAATTATTTCAACATTTTATTTTCTATCTTATTAATCTAAATCCATAATAAAATACCATCAAAAATATTCTTTCATAGTAATAAAATTATTATTATAGTTGTTTATCAAATAATAGGTATAGACATGAAAAATTCGGCATCTTTGCCTTATAATTACATTAGATAATCTTATAATTTTATAGGGAAGTAAATTAAAACTCATTATACAAGGGCATTTTTGGGTATTCATTTAAAAATTTGACCAAGTCAATATTATTTTAAGGTTTTGTTACTAAAACTATCAAATCAAGAGAGGTATGAGTAATTTTTAAAACCTCATGCGAGCTCAGTAAAATTGTCAGAAATTTCAGGGGAGATTTCTGAAATTATCCCTTTTCCCTTCTAAACAAGTTTCCTAAGTTGATTTACACATAAACAGCTACTCAAACGCACAATACATACACACAAATTAACAGACCTTCAATATTGGTATACAGAGATTACTATTAATCAGAAGTAAAATTGAAAAAAACAAGAATTTCAATTTTATTAAACGCTACCTAAATAAGAATACAATGAAAGATTCTGAAACTTAATACTAGACGTCTGAATTGGGTTGGAATAACCCGAACTTAATTCGATCAACCCTAAATGTAGTGGATTGAATCTTATGCAATCTGAGTTGAGGTGAGTATGGGCTAAATATTTTGCATGATTTAATTCTAAATTTGAATTGTGCTGAAATCAGTCCATTTAATTCTCGGCCCAAACAATATATATACTAAGGCTCATATGTAGGAATTAAGAAGATTTATTTATCTAAATCTAGTCAAATAATTGAAATTTAGATGGCTAATTTTGCGATAAATTTTTCCTTTTCAATCTCTAGTTGATAAATTTATGGATGTTATGGTAAACTAAATTTTTTTGTCATGAAATTCAACTTCTTTTAGATATTAAGAAAATCTATGGATTAGTTGGCTATTTGGTTTATGTAGATTTTCTGAACATGAAAAATACATGACATAAGTTTAGGTT